GTTTGTCTCACGTGCAAGTTTAGCAGTGCTTCTAGCTACTGTAAAATGCTTTTCAACCTTGCCTTGCCCAAAGATTTGGTTTTTCTAGCTAGGTCCCTCCATCCCTGTTCTTCCAGGCCACCCATATCTTCAGCCACGTCTCCTGTTAAAAAAGTGGAGAATGCAGGTGTTAATGGAAAACTGCTGTGGAGGCAAGCGTAGCTGTGCATTAGTAACAAGGTCAGAAGACTGATTCTTAATATCGGGATCTGCTATCGCTGTCTGTTGCCCGACCTTGGAAGTTTGCTGGTGTTTTGGAAAGGGCTGAATTACTGGCAGTCGGGGTTTTTTAATACGCAGTTCTCTTTGGGGGGGAGAATCAGAGGAATATTGTGCAAGAGAAATCTGATCACCACTACAAGGTTAAGAAGAGAAAAGGAGTGTGATAACACAGCATCTGTGTGGCAAGATGGGGGATGAGAACCTGGGGCGATCATGTCCGGAGCAGTTCTGCCGGTGGGATAATCCAGTCGAGCTCCCCCTGGAAGCTCGCTGCTCTGCCTGAGCAAGCCTTGCTTGTGGGTTTCACAGCTGAAAAGCAGAAGTAGGTCAGGAACATGCACCTAGCTAAATCCACCCGCAGACACAGAACTGCCTCACGCACAGTAAAAACAGCGTTGTGTTGCAGAGTCCTGTGTTTGTCTTCATTGTCTGTAAACGACTAAACTTGGCAGTGCACCCCTCTCCTGGTGCAGCTTTCCAGTGCTTGCTTTGCTTTCTTGCATCGTGCTCTATTGGTTGTACTAGAAAGTTGTTATTTCTAGCGGCTTTAAAGGTCTGAAGTTCATGCATTTTTTTACTTACATTTGAGAAGTAAAACCAGTCCATGGGGCAGTGCTTGGACAGAGCGCAAAAGATGAAAACCAAAGTGTGGCTACTCCTGTGGTGGCAGTGGCTGTTGCTTTTTGGAAGCAGGTCAGTTTTTCACCAGTAGTAGCGAGGCTGTCTAAGGGTTAGTGTTTGGTTCTCACCTCCTGCGAGCACGTGGTTGATGTAGCAGAGCTCGCACATGCCTGTTTGGCAGTTGAGCTTTCTGTTGCATTCCACCCTTTTAACGTTAGTGAGCCTGGGACAAGTGGTTATCTGGCATTTTCTTGACAATTCAGCATAGATACGCGTACACAGGTGACAAACCTTCCCTCTTTGGGTGGGAAAATAGATCTGTGCTCACAGAAGTAAGCTCTTTCCTTAAGCTGAAGAAATAACTGCTGTGGTGCTCACCAGCCACTTGACCGGTCCTGAGGGAAAAATCACGTGAAGCAGGCCACTGAAGTAAGGTTCCATACAGCTAAGTGACGTTAGAGTAATGGCACCTTTTTTTTTTTAAAAAAAACCACTTCCTTAGTTTGCCCTTCTCTTTCTCTTTAAAGGGAAAAGCTCTACTGCAACCCTTTGACGAAGCTGCAGGCTCAGGGGAGTTTTATGTAGTTACTGTCCAACAACATAAAACTGCAGGATCGTGACTCTTGCCCTGCTTGCCTAGAGCTCCTGCGGGTTGGATTAGCCTGACACCAGCCCTCCTTCCCAGGCTCTCCGCTAGCTAATCTTCTGCCGTTGCGGTTGGATGAGACTGGAAATGGTAACGTGGATATTGGCTGTTAGCAAGCCATGTCGTGCAGAGTGCCCTGCAAGCTGGCACTGGGGGTAAGACTCTTTACTGTCAGTGGCGCTGAAGCCTGCGAAGCCTCCACCAGCCGGGAAGGTCAGCGTGCAGGTTTGGCTGGGATTAAGGCGGCTCTGGTGCCAGCTCAGGTTATAGCACTGTGCGAGGTAGGACGGGGTGCTCGATGTCCCTGGCAGAGGGGTTTCTGCGGGACAGGCGAGTTTCCCAGGCTCCTGCCTGCAGCATGCTTTTGCAGAGCCGCTGGGAGCGGCCGCCCAGCCTGTTTCCCTGGAGCTGTGTGCGGCCCGGGGCAGCCGCAGGTGGCTGGCACAGGGCTGGACGGGTGGGAGGCTGTGGGCTAATCGGCACATCTGTGCCACAGGATGCAGGAAGGCAGCGGGAGCTGCTGAGGTCAACATCGCAGCCATCGGATCTCCCCTGCAAATCCTACCCAGAGCTCCGTGCCGTCAGCTCGGCAGGTCCTGGGGCTCTCAGCCACATTAAGATTTATATAGGGCTCTCAGGACCAGCAAAGTTGGTCTTTCCAGGCTTGCGCTGCATGCGAGTTTTCTCCAGAACTGCTGTGGTTGTAGTGACAGGCGTCAGTGGTAGCACGGGGTGAAGCTGGAGTCTCCCCTGCGACACTGGAGCTGTGGCTGTTGCCTCCCAGCACAGCTGCTTCTGTCTGCAAGCCTGATGTTCTGCTGGTCCCACTGCACATAGTCTAACGGAATAGTTCACTGTCTTGGGCTCTCGCTGTCTCAGTAGTTTTCTGAAACTAAGGTATGTGCCAGAATAAAGTACGTGTACTTGGAGAATTATCAACTGATTCTTGGTGTCTGTCTGAAATGTGATTCCTTCATCTGGCTCTTGTCTCTTGAAATTTGAGAAACATGCTCGTCCTAACATAGTTGATGTTTTTGTTGGTGCTGATCTTTGCACTTTGCCTTAGGTCCTAGTCTTTGCTCCCGATTTCTGTGATGTTTGAATTGCACGTTGTTGTAGCGGGGTCACCCAGCCAGCTAGTTTCAGGACTAAGTTTCCAAAGTTTTGGCCAGGTAGAAAGTTTACAAACGGGTTTAAACGTAGTTCCCAGGTGTGGAGAGCACAGCATGGGTAATTCAGGGTGCCAAATGCAAAGCATGAGGCATTTCAGTGGCTTGTAAGCGCCTGAGCCAGCAGCTGTGGGACCCCGTGAACGCCCTAGGGCACGGCTGCAATGCAAATGTCCCAGTATCAATACGAATACAGAAAAGCCACAAGTTTCTAAGTAGGCTGGAATGTGGCTTGAGTTGTTTACGTCTATCCAGCCAAATTTTACTGCAGATGCACAGGAGCTAGGAATGAATAATTTTCCCACTTGCCATCCATGGATTGTTAGTGCTGCAGGAGAGACATCCAGACCAGTGAGCCTGGGGCCCTCGTCGAGAGCGCTGCACGCTGCAGCCCTGCCGCGCTCTCCGTGCGAGTCAGTCCCCAGTGTTGTAAAGCCACTGAAAAATAAATGCAGTGCTTATACCACTACCCACAGATGGGTTATAACCAATTTGAGTTTAATGACGGCAGTAGAGCAGCTCTAACGTTTCACTGTGGGCCCTTATTAAAAGAAGTGCTTGTTGCACCTAAAGTGCTGAAAGTTTCTGGGAAGCTGTGGTTTCCGCTGGGGAGGTAGAGGGAGGCATGTCCATGCTGTCTCCCACCTGCCCTGACGGGATGTCCTGCAGAAACGTTTCCACTAGGGCCATCTCTGGAGCTAAGGCCTATTCATTTAGTCAATTTATTTACATTCATTAAACTATTTATTTTGTTTAATTTATTATTCAGCTAAAATTTAATTTGCATTTGCTATACTGACACCAGCTTTCACGTGTTAAAGCTAGCACATACTGCACTGCTCTGAATTTGCTTTGGCTTGAGTTGAAGAAATGCTGCTCAGCTTCATGAGACGTCCTGACCAGGTACTTCTCCGGGAGGAGATTCTGCCTCTTCCCAGAGGTCTCTTGATAAGGAGGAAGAGTTGAAGCTGTCAATACATCTAAACTCCTTCAAAAATCATCAGAAAAACATGAGTTACCGATGCTGATGTGATCTGAAAGCTGGTGCTGGCTCCCAAGGCTGAGGGGTGCCTTGTCTCAGGGCTCCAGGGCTCCCAGGCCTGGCAGCTCCTGCACCAAAGGAGCAGCCATGGGGGTGCCTAGGGCTCCTTGCTTACTGGGGCAGGAGCTCAAACGATTTGGAGTGGGAGAGACTTCTCTTCTGATTCGTCCTCCCTTTAAAAGGACAACAGAAGCTAGCCAGGGTTTTCTGTGGAGAGCTTTTGCTCTGTTTTTCAGCCAGGTTCTGCTGAAAGGTGGCTTGCTGGCACGGAGGCTCTGGGGGCTGCTTCTGGCCTCCCCAGGGCCGCCTTTGGAGAAGGGATTGCCTTCCTCTGTGTGTGTTGTGTTGGCCTTGAGCAAGTGATCACGTGAGCTGTGTGGTCTTGGCTTTGTTCTAGTTTTGAGATTTTTGTGCTAGGGATGTGGCACGTATTTTTCTTCTGCTCAGTGCAGAGTTGCGCCCCTTCCCGTCCATAAAGCTGTGTCGAGCGCTCGGGAGACTTGCCAAGGAAGCCTGTGCCAAAACTTGGGCTGCCCAGGAGTGGGGGAGTTGTCAGGTTTGCTAACCAGACACAAAGGCTTTCCCAGGCAGGTCCAAGGCTGGTTGTTTCAGGCTGCAGCTCTTGCACATCACATCGTGTGTTTGAAAGATCCGGCTTTTCACGTGTGTCCCAGGAAACTGGGATCACTGAAGTGACCCAAGTAGCTGAACGCTGAGCAGCGTGTGTGTTGGTATGGGATGTGTGCCTGTGCACGAGGAGCCGTGATGCCTGGCTGATGCTGCCGGGGGAAGGCTAGGAGCAGGCGGCTGCAGCACAGCCTCGCTGGAGGCATGCTGCGGCCTGCTCGGCTGCAGCCTCCCCGGGGCACCTGGTGCTTGCAGAAATCTCCAGCTCCGTAATCCCTGCTTCAGTTGCCGGGATTTCTTAAATTAGCACGGAGAGAGGAGTGGTGTTAGGGGGTTGTGTGTGTGGTTTTGTGGTTTGTTTGTGTTTGATATGGCAGAGCAGGGTGAGAGGACAGAAAATTCGTCTGGAAACTACTTACTGGTTCACTGCCTGGCTGTTTTGTGCTCGCCTGCTTAGTATGGATGGCTGTGCCTGGGCCCAGGCGTGCCATAGTAACTGCCCTCGCCTTGTAATTCAATGCATCTCACTTGCTTACAGGTTTGGCAGCACTAAAGTGCTCCAGCATTCGTCCCATGCTGCACTGGTGCAGCACTCGAGATCGGGCTATTTATAACCACCTCCGGGCCGGGGCGATCGGGCCGGCATCCCTCTGCGAGTGCGCCTGAAGAACCTGTTAGATACGTGTCTGTTTTTTTTTCTGGTGTGGCGGGGAGAGGAGAGCTTCAGCTGTGGGGAGCTGCTTTTGGGCTTCACGGATATCATGGCGGTGTGAGCGTGGCAGTCGGGGAGAGGGGTGAAGGCGCGCGGTGGATGAAGGTCGCTGTGCGGCACTTTGGGAGAACTGCTGCAAGCCCAGCGTCTGATTCTGGTGAGCACGCGGGACGTGAGCTCAAGGGTGCACAGGACACCGTGTGGAGTCAGCTGCCGGTCCTCTGCATCCCACCACCCTGAGGCCAAGTAGGAGTTTTCTTTGGAGAAGGCGGCCGACTGCCTGAGAAGGCGAGCAGGTCCCAGCTGTGGAGGGTGAGGGCTGCTGCGTGGGAGTTTGCCTTGTGGGGACTCCAATATATGAGTGCAAACAAAACTAACTTTTCTAATCTGGTGGTGTATGAGCCAGGCTGTTTGCTATCATGGGGAACAGCCTTTTTGCAAACTGCTGCAGGCATGTCACCGATCTAATCTTCCAGACACGCAGCTTTAACTCGCCTGATGAGAGGTCGCCCCTCTTACCGAAGCCTCCCACGAGCTGCACCGTCTGCCCGGAGATGCCAGAAGCTACCCAGTGTGCTGGGCCGTATCCAGACATCATCCCCAGCGAGGCGGTGACCGGAAGCCTGCAGAAGTGCACCGAATACCTTCAAGACCTATCCGAGGCCAAGGGCGAAGAAGGAACGGTGACGGTCTGTGATAAGAGCTGTTTGAGACCCGGCGTTGGTGCTGCTGGCCTGCTCCGGCAGGCAGAGGCATCCCGTGCGGTGGCTGTCCTTCCAGCCGACCTTGGGGAAGGGCCGGCAGGGCTGGTCGGTCATGCTCAGTCGCTTGAGGCCTGCCAGAGCTGTGTGAAACTTGAGGACAGCGGCTTAGCCCATAGATCCTGCTGCCGGGAGGAGCACGTGGCAGCAGCTGATGGGGGGGATGCGGCCCCTGGAGCACATCCTGCCAGCCGGGGCCACGGTGAGGGACGAGCAGCCTTGCTTTTAGACACAGCCTTAGTGGGTCCGGACAGCGTGCTGAAATGCAGAGGTACTGCTCCCTCCCCGGGGAGCTCTGGGACACCTTCCTCTGCTCTGCCAGCAAGCATGGGGAAAATGCTGCCGTCCCAGAGGACAGTTGTGCTGCCTGTCCCCCCTGGCAAGGTGTCATCTAAGACTCGGAACACAAGTACTGGTTTTGTAGTGACAGACCCCGCCGCCTGCCCCGGCGGCAGGTCAAGCTGTGATCCTGACTCTCGGGCGCAGGGACTGCCCTCAAAGCAGCACCAGCAGAAGAAGAAGAGGAAGAAAAAGAAGTTCACACTTCTAGGTGCTCAGCGGTGTGGCATTCTGTCATGCTTTGTGTAGCCAAAACACTGTACGCCCGTAACAGGGGTGGGTGGCAGCCTGTGCCTGTGGGATGGGGCAGGACAAAAGAGAGGGGAGGCAAGGTGACATTTTAACTTCATGGTAGAAGGAAAAGGAGGAATGTGGCAAGGTATCCCACCCGGGGTGTGTACCATAGAGGGACCTGTCTGTGCCTTGTCCGTGTTAGCAAAACAAACGTAAGGGGGTTTTGCTTATTTTTTTCTTAATTCATAAGGCAAATCCTTCTCTTGTTTGTGACTGCAAACATGGCCTTTGTAAAGGATGGGAGCGGGTCTGCCAGGCCCAGCCTGCAGCAGTGCAGACGGGAGCGTGGGGCGGCGAGGGACTGGAGCAGCATTTGCCCGGAGCCTTTGGCTCTTTTCAGCCGCGCGCAGGTGGGAGGAGATGCCTGAGCTGTAGGGATGGAGCAGCTCCACGGCTGCCCTGAGCACAGGGATGGGATGTTCCTTCTCCTCCGCCCAGTGCATCTTTCCAGTGCTGTGTGGACAGTGGGGCCCCAGCCAGTTGCTGCGGTGTGGGAGGGGAGCAGCTGCTCGCGGGGCAGCCGCTCGGCCGCATCCTGCTTTCCTCCTCTCCCGCTTCTCCACAAACTGGCACAGCACGGCTCCAATGTGGCACCAAATGGTAACGGAGCTGGAGTGACTTTTGTCCTCACCAGGTCTTCTAGGATATGAGAAACTCAGGTTATTTTTCAAGTCTCAAGGTCAAATTTTGCCTTTCTATCACCGTATTTTGGTTTTGTTCAGTCCCTGTGTAGTGGCTGAATTTTGGTCTCAAATGCTGTCTTTTGGTGCACCTGGTGGCATGAGGGGATGTGTAGGGTGACTGACCCAAGCTGGTTGCTTGGTTTCTGGTTTAGCACCTTGTTTGCTTTCCATGTGCCCATCAGCGTGCCAGCAGCGGGTGTTGAGGCTGCAGGCACAGCTGGTTGGGAGACCACGCAGAAACTGTCTTACACTGCTCAGAATTCCAAATACCTTTGAGGAGCGAAAGGCAGAATTTGGGCCCTCAGAATGACACTGGAGCCGATAATAAGAAATGCACTCCTAAATTCAGTGATGGAAAAGGTAGGGTTTTAATTTTCAGTTTTGTGTCTCTAATAATCTCTGCTGTTACTAAATGTCAGATCTCCTCTACCGAGCAGTCAGTGGGTTGGATACTGTTGCTTCCCGCACTCTCCAGACCAGGCTAACTTGCAGCAGCATAATGTTGCTGTCTTTTTGACCTGGTCATGTAAAAAAAGGATTAGTGACTGACTTCAGTTTAGAAGATTTGTTTGAACATTACTTAGTTATTAACTAAAACTTCCCATGATCTATGCTATCACTATATGCAGCCAGTGACACTCAGGTTCAGGTGTGCACCCTCTTTCATGCTGGGATCCTGACCAGTTGGGTTCGTGAGGTGCCCATCACCTCTGCAGGCTCACTGTAAATAGGACGTGTGATAAAAATGGGGCCTGTCACCTTGGCGTGTGTACTCGTTGTCCAGGTGCAAAGATAAAACTTAATCCTTTCGCTGAACCTCTCTACTGGGTGCGAGCTGCAGTCAGGCAGTCGATTCCTCGCGGTGAGGCGGTGCCTGTGCCACCTCCTCCCCTCTTCAGTGTTTTGCTTTGCCTGTTCTCCTGACGCTTTACTCTTGCGTGCACTCAGGGTTTGTTCACGCTGTGCTCTGAGTAGCAATGAGAACATCGTGTTACAGCTTGGCTGCCAGCCAGCACAAGCCAGAGCTTAGCAGCCTCAGATGCGCCTGCGGGTACAAACCAAAGGCCGAAAGGAGGAGGGTCCTTGCTGGGATGCTGGCGCATCCCTTGGAATGACAGGGGAGCCTGGAGGTCACAGCCTTTGGTCGAAACCGCAAAACCGCGTTTCGAGGCTGACGCGTACCAGGAGGGATTTCCTTGCTCCGTCTCCAGCAGGGCGGTAAGCGGGAGGAGCGGCCGGGTAGCACTCCTGGAGCGGGTGGGACCGCTTCCCTGTGACTCAGCCGCCCTCCGCAAAACTGTCCTGGGTGCATTGCACAGCGCTTTCTCCTGCAGGCGAGAGCTTGCAACTAAACGCAGCTGCTGGCCTGTTTGGGGCTTGAACTGAGAGCGAGTAACAGGAGAGAGGTCTCTGCAGGTGTCTTTCAGGAGTCCTTGTTGTTTTTACTACCATCTTGAATATGCTGAAATTGAGTGCCCGATGCTTTTGCCTTGCTCTCCCTGCTGCCACTGCTGAGGCTGCGGCACAGCGGGTCTGCAGCAGGCGGTAAGAACTGGTGATGGACTTTAAGGCAGGCGGGTGAAGCTCCGCTTCCCCGTAGGGAGAGTACATGCAGTGAGTCAGCACCCAGCAGGCAACACGTCCTCCAGGCAAGTTCGCCTGTGCTGCTGTCAGCTGGGGTTGAAACAAAACACACTGTTTTCATCAAAACATACCCATTCTGTAAAAACTCCACTGGAAAGCCTTTGCTGGCCTTAAATCAGAGGGTTAACCTGCTGGACAGCCATTCTTTCTTGGTCCAGGCTTAACTTCTGTTTCTAAACTTAAGACAGTGCTGGCTGGAGCTGGATCTTCTGGCATAAGGAGACATGAAGATGTTGCCTCTACATGTCTCTTCTGTCGCAAAGTGCAGAACTGTACCAGCCCTGTCTTCACTCAAGTAGGGAAAAAGGGATGGAAAGTGCAAATATGTTGTATTTCTGCAGACAAGAAACAGTCTTCTGATTTCTGAAACAATCGGTAGTTTGGGGATCTGATACCACTGAGTAGTGAAAAGCAGAAGCGTGGTCCTGGTTGGTAACTTTTCCTTGCTGCATGCTTGCTTTCCCTGTCTTGCTTTGCTTTGCAGCTGAAGGTGCTTGCTGTGCTCGAGACCAGCATGTGCATGGGTTGCTCAGCTCTGTCTGAAGCCTGTCTCCTGATTTGGTTAGTCCCTATGCACTGCTTTCCTCCTCCCCACTTCCAGCTCCAAGCTGGCCAGTTAATTTCTGCTCACTATGGAGGCACCTTCTCTTCTGGATCTTGCTTAGAAAAAAGACATAAAACAAAATCACATTTACTCAGATGACTGTGTCCCTTTCAGGAATATTCTGCCAACTGTTGTGGCACAGAAGTAGCTTCAGTGCCCACCTCGCTACTGCTGAGTTGATTGGTTGGAAAGCATCCTTGGTCAAGCCTTTAGCATGACTACCAGGCACAGGAGTGTGCCTGGAGCATGGCACAGGGCAGACTGCAGGAGCATCAGGACAGGCGACATGGCTGGGAACGAGAGCAGAGAGACAGGAGCTGGCACATCCCACATCTCCTCCCACACCTCAGCTGCCAGCAAAAGTCAGCCGTCTGTAAGCAGCACTTCGAGCTTGGTATCTGTGACGCTGTCAGAAAAGGTCCTTGGTCACGAATAGGTGGAGACTGGGGGTCTCGGGGTGGTGGGCAGCACTGTTGCAGCTGTGCCTGGATTTTGCCCTTGGCTGCTGCCACAGCTGTTGAAGATGGGTTGTTGGGTCTTTGGTCAGTGCTACAGCCTTCCTTGTAGCCAAATTCTGTCTCCTCTTTCTGGTTGTTACAGCAGAGGCAAAAGTTCAGTGGTCCTGCCCTGCTTGGGTGGGCAGGGGCTGGACCAAGCCTGGCTCGGGAGCCTGGTGGGTCATCCTGTCTATGGTACTAGTAGCCCCAGGTGTAGCTTTTCTGTGATACCTTTTCTGCTCTCCCTCCTCGTCTCCGTGTGTTCAGACAGTCCAGGAGCGTGGCTGTGCTGGCTGTAGGGTGTGACAAGGGGCTCTCCCCAGCCCTCTGGGCATGGCGTGGTTTTTCTGAAACCACGTCTCTTGAGGCACTCTTGTGTGGAGCTTTTCTTCCTCCTTTCTAGCATGACTGCAGCTTGCTAGAGCCAGAGCCGGGCCTCTCGTCTGGCTTGCCTGTGGTTTCATCTGTCAAAGAAATGAACAGCTTGCTTTAGGGACATATGCAAAGTGACAGGGAACATGAGCAGCAGCTGCTGAGATGCTGAAGGCAGCAGAGGCTGCTTAAGGTAGCTCTGTTACCTGCTGCCTTTTGGAACGTGTGTGCTTTCCTTGTGTTTCTTGCTCTTTCACCATGTTCTTAATTCAGCCTTGACAGTCGTCTCTGAGGCGGGTTTGCTGCTGGCAGTCATAGTCTGGAGCAGGAGTATGACCCTCCAGGGACACTTCAGCAGGGCTTGTCGCTGCAGCCTCGTGTTGTACTCCAGAGGCGTGCAAGGGGATATAGCGTTTCCATCCCTGTTTTTATACAGGGTGAAGGTTGAGTGACTTTTCTGGGTTGCTGGAGCAGTTGGAGCTGATAGGTGAGAACTAGCTGTGATAGCTTTAGGTCTTCAAGCCACAGCACCAGTCTTGCATTTCAGAAATGACAGAGGTTGAGCTGCCATCTCCCCCAGAGTGCAGCTGGGGTTAGGACTGATGCCTTGCTAGAAGGTGAGGAGAAGGAGGAAAGAGACCTGCCAGGTGGAGCTGGCTGGAGGACTGCAGCTTGGTGCTCAGCAGCCTTGGGGCGTTATCCTGGCTTTGAGCCACCCCGACCCCGTGCAGCCTTTCGGAAAGGCTGTTCCTGGTGCCTGGGAAAGCCCCCAGCCCGCTCCGTCTGCACCGCATGTGAGCGGGTGCCTGGGAGCACCAAGCTAGAACCACCATGTGTGAGTTTGGGGGTCTAACAGCCAGGTGTGCTGGCTCTGTGTGGCTGGGACAGGACAGCTGTGCTGCGAACACACCCTGCGGGGCGTGACACCCACTCCCTTCCAGCGTTCGCTGCTGGGCGTAGGTGGATCAGAACAGTGCCCTGCTCCCAGTCTGGGGGCAAGGGGGTCTCTTCCCTCTCTCAACAGCGGCTCTTTCCATGACTCCAGCTCACCCTGGCAGCACCTCAGTCCAACAATGCAGTGTATCCTCTTTAGCGTGGTCCCCAGCCCAGTTTGGTGGGTGTAGGCTGCTCTAGGAGACCTGCAGCTTCCTAGATCTTATCAGCTCTGACACTATCCGCCTTATTGGAAAAGAAAACAAACCATTGTGGGAGCGCTGAAGTAGGTGCAGAGAGCTCCTTGTCCCTGTGACGCATCTGTCTAAATGAGCGCTTAGAATGTCGTCACCTTTTCTTGAATAAAATTGCTTAGGCAAAGCCTCGCCCTGGCACCACGGGATCTCTGCAAAGTATTTTGGAAATGCAGAGGGTAGCCAGATGCACGCAGGGGCGTGGGAGCTGTTTGTGTGCCTGGTGGAGTAACCTGGCTCCCACTTGACGTGCAGCTTAGTAATGCAACTGCTGTCTCTTCCCCTCCCTTCTCTCCTGGCTGAACAGTAGTGTACCAGGAGGTATGTTAGGAGCTGCGTAACATGTTGGTGCAGAGGTTACAGCTGCCTCCGGGCTGCAAAGCACCACACACCCATTTCTTTTAATTAAAGAGGCTTCTTAAGACTAAGCTGAATGTGTTGTACACTGACCTATCCTTCCTGCTTTCCTTCCCTCCCCTCTCCGCACACGGTTTGTGGAAGATGCAAACCCCACAGGCGAGCGAGAGCATGTTAATTATGCTGTGAGGGGAAGGGCCTGGCACACCTATGTCTAGTAAACACCAAGTGCAGAATAAAACGCTTGCTGCCTTTTAACCCCTGGTTTGCTTGGGTTGGTCAGAGGAGGGTGGTGGTGTCTGAACCAGCCTCTCCAGCCAGTTGGAGAGAACTGTCCATTTGCTCAGACCTTGTCTAAATCCCTCTCTTCTCGCCCAGAGCACCCGTCTGGCGTGGCACTGATGAATGGCAGCGGCCCACACGAGAGCCTCAAGGGCGAGAAGGATGCCAGGCAGAACGGTCACGAGGAGGCTGACCCAGGAGAAGATGGGAACGACCAGGAGGTCATTGTCATACAGGACACAGGATTTACCGTCAAGATCTGTGCGCCAGGGATAGAGCCCTTTTCCCTGCAGGTATCTCCCTTCACCATCTGGGGAGGGGAACGGAGGCGGTGCTGGAGGAGGAGGAGTTGGAGTCGGGAAGCATTTGAGCCAGGGAACACACAGCACTGTCCCTTCAGCCAGCCAGGCAGGGAAGGGGACAGGGGACTGTGCCCAGGAAGGCCCCTGTTAGCCCCCACGGCCTGGACAGTACCTTCAGGCTGCTCACAGCTCCCTGACTCATCCGTCCTCTGATGGGATTAAGTGGGGAAGGAAGCAGCAAAGCATGGAGGGTGCAGGAGAGAAGCTGCCTGACCAGTGGCTTCTAGAGAAAAAGGAAGGAAGAGGAGATGTGAGCAACAGGCTGTCTGGCACAGGCCTGCCTAGGCTTTGCAAGGACAGGGAGGGTGTTTTGCTCCAGATCCCAGGTGTGGAGCAAGAGGAGGGGGAATTAGCCGAGGTGTAGTGCTCCTTGTCCATCACAGAGGGGCTCAGGCATGGAGCTGAGCACAGGGGAAATGGCCTTCCCATTTCTGGGCTGCTTTAAAGGAGGGATGTGAAAATATGATTTCTGGGTCTGACTCTCAGGAAGGGAAAATCCCTTGCTTGCCCAGTGGTTTTGGCATGATGCTCCTTCAGGCTAACCTGGGTTTGGTGCAGCGACAGGCGCTAGCACGGCTCAGGGAGCTCAAGCACCAGCCTGAAGATCAAGCGAACGATGCAGTCTCTGCTTCCCCTCTGCACAGAGCGCTCGACACGTGTCATGTGGACAATGGCATGGGCTGCCAGATCAGGACGGGCTTTGACATGCCTAGCTGATATTCTGATTTAACTTGATACTTCACTGAAAACCATTTGGATGAAGTATCTCTAACTTTCAGGGGAGGCATCTGGAGTCTAAACCGAGTGGGAAGTCTTATCTCCCCAAGACTAGCAGAGAGTGCAGTGAAATTACATCCCCCGTGGAACTAGCTGTACCTCAGCCTAGCTTTTTTCTCCTTTAAATCCCCTTGGCTGTTAGTTTTAATAGGCTAATAATAGCAGGCCATGTTGTTTACAGCAGCTTATGTAAACTACCCTGAGTCCTCCTAGCTCGAAAGCAGTGTCAGTGGTTCTGGAGCCAGAGCAGGGAGGTAGGAGAGCAGCCCTGGTGCACAAGCTGGGGCGGTTTCTTGCGTCACGGGAGCCGCACGCTTGCAGGTGGTGTGCCCTGGAGGTGTGGCACTGGCATGGACATGCCACATCACGCGGCAGATCGAGTGGAGGAAATGGTCTGTTTTCCATGTGCATCATTCAAAGCCTTACCACAAATGTGCAGTGTGAATGGATAAGGGAAGAGCCCCTGGTTTCCCCCACCACCCTCTATTCCTTCCCTGCCCTCTCTGCCACCTCTGTCCCATGCCGAGTGCTTGGCACAGCACCAGGCTGTGACACCTCTGAGTGCCAAGCCCTGTGGGATGGAGCTGGGGTGGCCAATCCTGCCAGAGGTGGCAGTGCCCTCCCAGCAGGGACAGAAGTGATCTTCCTGGGAGGGAGAGCTAGAGTCTGCCTTTCCAAGCCTGGAGAGGTACAAGAGGTGTTTGATTCTGCAGCAGAGGGACAAAGTTTGGCAAGAACATGTGTGAGGACTGAGAATAACTGCCTGGGTTCTTCCCTTCTTAAGGTCTCTCCTCAAGAGATGGTGCAAGAGATCCACCAAGTTTTGATGGACCGTGAAGATACCTGCCATCGGACTTGCTTCTCTCTGCAGCTGGATGGCAATGTCCTCGACAACTTTGCTGAGCTGAAAACTATTGAAGGACTGCAGGAGGGCTCGCTGCTGAAAGTGGTGGAAGGCAAGTTCCTTCAGATTTCGGGAGGGAATGAGTGAGGGTTTTCATAGGGAGTGGTTTTGGCCACCTGGCAGCCCTTTCCTGTGGTTTCTTTTTGAGACCTGTGTGCCAAAGGAGTAAGCAACTGTGTAATTCCAGTTTCTTTCCTCCCTTTTTGCTCATCAGAGCCATACACAGTGCGAGAAGCCAGGATACATGTGCGTCACATTCGGGACCTACTGAAGAGTCTTGACCCATCAGATGCTTTCAATGGTGTGGACTGTAATTCACTGTCCTTCCTGAGTGTCTTCACTGAAGGAGACCTGGGAGGTACGGGGCAAAAAGGCTTCTCTGGCCTCTGGTCAGTGTTTTCATTCCCCTGACTCCTTGCTTCGCTAAAACACATCGTAACCGTCAGCTGACCCACATCATTCAGGAGTGCAGAGAAACACTCGGAGCACTTCTGCATTCCTCCTTGAATAATTACTGGAGGAGGGAATGCTACGTTTTTCAGCACTGACTTTCTATCTCTGTCTGTTCTAGACAGTGGAAAACGGAAGAAGAAAGGTACCGAAATGGAACAAATTGACTGCACCCCTCCTGAACATATCCTGCCAGGTAGCAAAGAGAGACCCCTGTGTGCCCTTCAGCCCCAGAACAGAGACTGGAAGGTAGAGTTCTCCTGTGTCATTAAAACAGCTATCGGCACATTCCTTGCAGCAAACTAGTGTTCAGGGATTGAAAGCTGCACTGAAGTGGACTTTGTGATTTGCTCTGCTTGACGCTTAATGAGTGCTGGAATAGCACTGCTTAGCCAAAAGAATAAAGTCCAAGAGCTTGTGTGCAAAACGCTGGACACCGAGTCTGGACATCCGCAGAGTGTAAAATGGCCAGTCTTGTTGGGAGGGGTGGCAGGGAAGGGAGAACAGCATTTTGCTGCAAAGTCCTGGAGACAGGATCTGCAGGTCACTACAAATTACCCTTAGGTTTCCCATACCCTCCCACTTGGATTCTGATTTAGAAGCTGCCATTTGAAAACCAGTACAGCAAGAAATCCATGCCTTGTGCAGCCCAAAGGCCCAGGGTGTCTGTTTTTACCTGTGTCTTATGGTGTGAAAGGCAGCAAACTGAGGCAAATTAGTGGACTGCGAATGGCTCGAGGAAGGCTGTGCTCTCGAGACCAGGTTTTTTGCAAGCTCTGTTTCTGGAACCAAGCGAGGGCGGCAGGTAAAAGGAATCTGGCATGTACATTGAATGGCTCTGTAACTGAAGGGAATTATTTCCTGCTGACAGGAGTTGCTTCTGTTGTGTTCTTCTGTAGCCTTTGCAGTGCCTAAAGGTATTGACGATGAGTGGCTGGAACCCTCCACCTGGTAACCGGAAAATGCATGGGGACCTCATGTATTTATATGTCATCACAGTGGAGGATCGGCACGTCAGTATCACTGCATCCACTCGAGGATTTTACTTGAATCAGTGAGTAACTAAGATTCCTCCTGTCCTGCCCTGCAGCAGGGAGCTTGTGATAGCCAACTGGAAAAGAACCCACAAACAAACAATTGCTGCTTTCTTTTTTTTTTTTTTTTTTGGTGGAAAATAGCCTATTTTAATTCGCTGCTCACATGGGTTTGTAGGAGTTGCTATACTGGATTGGGCTGTTCAGTTATGCCTGGTACCATTTCTCCACAGTGGATAAATGCCTGATGCTTTAGGGAAAATTTAAACATCCCATAATGTCATCAGCTAATTAGCGCATTTTGAGTCGGGAGGGAATTCCTTCCTGACCATTGTAACTATCTCATTTTGCCCTAAAGCAAAAGCACAGCCTGTCAGAATTTCCTAAGCTGGGCACAGATTTGACAAGATTTTTTTTTTTTATATTTTCTTTTTAAATAGTGACTATGAGAGACTGTTAAAGTGGCTGTGCTGTGCCTGTCATAGTGGCTATATTGAGGGAGGTGCAGGGTCCATCCAGCCCAGTAGCCTGTAACAGAGTCCTGCTGAGTTGAGGGTGCACAGGAGAGAACTTCAGAGCAGCAAACCCTGCTGTACCTGAGCAACCATCAGCTCAGGAACATCTCTGGGTGGCCTTGATCCTGCAATCCAGATAATTGCCTGGGCAACAATAAACTGCGTATTTGAAATACAAGGTTATAATTCACAGAAGGAGAATGAAGCTGCCTGAAGAGAAGGAGAGCTTAAAATATAGAAGATAAAATTCAAGCACATTTCTACCTTCTGTCTCATTATGAAATAGAGGTGCTCTGTGTTAAACTGGCTCGTGGAAGAAATAATTTTTAGTCCGTTGTTTCCTCCCATATCTGTAAAATTAAAAGTAATGAGTCTAAGGGTACACATCTGAGTGCAGGTCCCAGCAGACCAAGTGGCACAATGAACATGAAACAAGTGGCCTTTTTGAGTTTGGCAAAATGTGACCTGGAGAGGGGGACCTGTCAGTGTGCCCCTGGCAGGTCTGGTGCTCAGCCTTCCAGCCAGGAGACGAGGTATCTTGAGAGGGCACTGACTGGTACAGTGGTACAATTACCGTTGGGTTCATTGTTACGTGAAGGCCCTTTTGGTGTGTTTGGGAAGCTCTGTGAAATCAATCCTTCCCAGCTATAAAAATATAAGCCTTTCTTGAACCTGGTGGTGGCTGAAGGAGGTCTAAATTAAATTTGCTGTGCAATCCATCAGGGCCCAGGTACAGGGTTACTAGCTGCATCTCATGTGGAGAGACTAGAGAGGGCCCTTGCAGCCCATCTGCCCGTGTGCGACATGGTCTCCATTTTGCAAGCAAGGGCACGTTGTGCAGGCCTTCCATGCAGTGCATATATGGAAAGCTGTCATTCATGTACCACGTTCCTAGGGTATGGGAAGTCTCAGGTATGACAACAGCTTGAGACTTTTGTTTTCTCTTGCAGGTCTACTGCATACAACTTCAATCCCAAACCTGCAAACCCCAGTTTTCTCAGTCATTCCTTGGTGGAACTACTTAACCAGATCAGCCCTACCTTCAAAAAAAACTTTGCCGCTCTGCAGAAGAAACGGTAGCAGCATTTTTTCCCTCTCTAGTTGCCCTGAGTAGTCCGTTGTGAAGTTGCTTGGTGAGGCTCAGCTATGTGGCTGACTGTGGGAACTGGATGCCGCTCTGATACAGCAAGGATTGCAATGCCTGCTTTCTCTGAGCTCACATAGTGGTGGGGTGGTTGGGACATGGGAGTCTATGCAGCAAGGACCCCAAAACGTCTGACTAAATGTCATGGCAGCACCCTGATGTAACTGGCTTTCCCTCAGTCGAAACATGGAGCTGTCAGAGCTGATGTGACTTGTCTGCTGTTGTTCAGCCCAACAGTAACAGAGGCCGGTGGAAGCCCAGAGTCCTGATCCTTATCCACTGGATGGTTTCTCTTGGCTGTAGCTCCAAGATGACTCTTGCTTACAGCATGTAGATTTACAGATTTCGGTTCTGCCTAAAGCAAAGGGTGGGGGGACTACAGCTTTCCATTGCCGTGGGAGTATCAGTTGTGGGGCTTACCTGGAATTCAACGCGCTCTGTCCCTGCTGAGAAACTGAACACGTAGGGCAACATGCGCAGTGGGAGAGGAAGCCCAGAGATGGACTGCAGTGTTCATACAAGGGAAACTGCTGTTGTGTTGACCAGCTCCTGAGATGTGGGTCTCCTTGCTGAGTCTGTGTGTTGGCTACATGCCTCGTGGGAGACTTGATGACTTCCTAGCTAGCTGGGCAGCAAAGAGTTAATGTGAAGCATGGCCACATGCTGCAGCAGCAACTGGGCTGGTAACCTGATCAGTAGGTACTTCTCCCCTGAATCCAAAGAAGAGACTGAAGCATAAAATATCAGGGAAAGTAACACATGAGGGCTTTGCGTAGGCTTACGGTGGAGAGAGAATAATTATTTTAAACATGTCCATGCATGTTCATTTTCTCTAATTTCCTCTAGCTCCTATAATAATAATAATAATAAAATAATATATTGTTTTATTCTCCTGTCCTTGCTGCAGGGACCATTTATTCTGCTCCAGGGCAGTGGGTCCTGTGCAAAAGCCTGTCATTCTTTAGAGTCCACTTAATGAACTGCCTTGGCTCAGCAGGGTGCAAATTGACAGGCACATTGTGTGGCTTTCAGGAGCTCTGCTTCTGCTCTCATTAAGAAGATGAAAGTGACACTAGACAAGGGCTGGAAATTAGCAGTGGCCTCCAGCCACCACTGTGACTATCTGGCCATTTAAAAATGATTATACTTTATTGCTTCTTGGGCCAGAAGTAAATACAGATGAGACTCCAGCACCTGCTGAGAGCAGACAGATTACACAAGAGACCATTTGGTGAAGCTTTCTTTTTCGCTTCATTAGTGGATGTGTGCTGTAGGCTGGTTTTATGATGCAACCCATATGGACTGGTGTGAAAGCTGAGGGCCAGTCTGAGAGGTGGCTAGCTGGGAGTGGGCATCCTCCACTTCCGAATGCAGAGGGTGATGGGGATCTCCAGTGATACAGCTGGGGAAAGGGGGAGGGGGAGAGCCCAAGTAATTCTGCAGACTGCTGTTGAGAGATACTGCCCATGCCAATCAGTCATCATGGGGTATAGTACTTGTTAAATGAAATTACCTCCCCCCAGTGGGATGGGGGAGAGAATCGGTAAAAAAAAAAAAAAGAGTAAAATTTGTGGGTTGAGATAAAGACGGTTTAATAGGACAGAAAAGGAAGGGAAAATAATAAGTGATGATAAAAGAATATACAAAATAATGATGCACAAATGCAATTGCTCACCCCATGCTGACTGATGCCCAGCCAGTTCCTGAGCAGCGGTCACCAGCCAACTCCCCCCAGTTTATGTACTGA